GATCGCTGTTTCGTCTCGTTTTGCGCTACTGTATTCGCCTCCATCATTTTTGGAGACTCGGGGCAGTCGTGTAAATGAGACGTTGTGTGTGTGTGTGTCCTGGCCTGTGTGGGGAGCGATAGTGTAGCGGTTAGCGCGCTGCGCTATGAACCTGGCGACCCGGGTTCGATTCCCGCTCACGGCCAACACCAGTGACGATTATCTAAACCGGTCCCGGGCCTCCTCCCCTAGATCGACTCGGCCTCAAATGAGTACCTGGTGCGGTGTGTAAACATTGCCACTGGGGAGACAAAGGCGGTCGGGCGTGGTGCTGGCCACCCACCCCCTCGTGTACCGTTCCGGCCTTCATAGGTGCTTCATAGGTGCTCGCTAACATCATTTTTGGAGACTCAGGGCAGTCGTGTAAATGAGACGTTGTGTGTGTGTGTCCTGGCCTGTGTGGGGAGCGATAGTGTAGCGGTTAGCGCGCTGCGCTATGAACCTGGCGACCCGGGTTCGATTCCCGCTCACGGCCAACACCAGTGACGATTATCTAAACCGGTCCCGGGCCTCCCCTAGGTCGACTCAGCCTCAAATGAGTACCTGGTGCGGTGGATAAAAAATTGCCACTAGGGAGACAAAGGCGGTCGGGCGTGGTGCTGGCCACCCACCCCCTCGTGTACCGTTCCGGCCTTCATAGGTGCTCGCTAACAGCACTTGCCCCTACGGTCTGTTAAGGCTACACGGGGGATCTTTGTCTTTGTCCTGGCCTGTGGAGTCCTCGCCTTGTTAAACAGAATCTCGGCGGTGTCGTTCTCTCGCAGCGCTGCACTGACGATCGCGTTGCACCGACGCAGCCTGCAGTCGCTTCGCGCCCGCAAGCGATGTTGGCTGCGTCTTTCAGAATTGGGTAATTTGTGAGCAATCATTTCTTTTTTTTCTTTCTCCAGATTTGGCAAAATGTTGGACCGTGACGCCATCGCACTATGGCCTACTCCTTTTCGGCACGTGGCATTTTAATTTTTTTTTCAACGGTTAATACCGCACCGCCGCAGTATTAACCAGGGTGGCCGCTGGGATTCGAAACGCGAACCTCTGCAACATATATATGGTTTATGCTCTTTGGTTCTATTCGGTAAAGTCACGTAGGTGAAATCACCTACGTGACCTACGTGACTTTACCTACGTGACTTTACCGAATAGAACCAAAGAGTAGTGATCCTTGCAGTCACGAAAGCTTCAAATCTAGAATTTCTGCGGTTTATTTTTAGCCACGGGAGGAAACCGGAGAACCTGGAGGAAACTCATGCAGGACAGGGGGAGAACACACAAACGCCACTCACTCAAACTTGCTCTCTGTCACTCGCAGAAACACACACGCATTCTCACACACAAAGACAGCGACAAAGATCCCCCGTATAGCCTGAACAGACTGTTGGGGCAAGTGCTGTTAGCGAACGCCTATGAGGGCCGGCACGGCGTATGAGGGGCTGGGTCGCCAACACCATGCCCGGCCGCCTTTGTCTCCCCAGTGGGGATGTTTACACACTGCAACAGGTACTTATTTGATGCCGAGTCGACCTAGGGGAGGCCTAGGACCGATTTCGATCATCGTTACTGGTGTTGGCCGCGAGCGGGAATCAAACTCGGGTCGCCCAGGTTCGGAGCCGCTACGCTACACGCAGACGCGCTCTCTCTCGCACACACACCGACTCCCACTCTCTCGCTCTCAATCCCACTCTGCAGAACAGGGGGAGAACGAACCCTGGGCCCCCGCTGTTGCTGTGTGGCACGAGCGTGTCACCGCTGCGTCCCCCTCACGCCATAGAAGGGCGAGTCGGTCCCGGCCACTCGCTCGCCTGCTGACAGTTGCGGAGGCCCGTTTATGGCCACGCGGATTCAGAGTTGACGTCAAAGCGACTTCCCGCTGCTGCTGCTGCTGCTGCTTCTGCTCAAACGAGCGTCGAGGCGTCGGCACTCGGCTTCTCGTTCACGGACACGCACAGCCGGTTGGGGGAAGTTCCCCATCCCTGTTTGTGGGTGCGAGTCTATCCGGAGGACAATCGCTGTTGATCTTCCGCGCAAAGTGGTGCTGGTTTTATTGACCCCAGAGGAAGGGATGATGATGATGATGACGACGAGCCGATTCAACCCCCCCCCCACCCCCCCTCCCAAACCAGCAGTTGAACTCCTGACCGTGGGCCGCCCGAACTACCGCTGAGCCACCTCGCCGGGTAATTGAAGGGGCAGCGTCGGGCTTCAAAGCGCGGTGTTGCTGTTAGCCGCCGCAACCCCGCTGTTCACCCAGAGGCAAGTCAGCCGCGTCGATCTGGCCGTGTTGGACGCGGTGCGAGAAATACAAAGCCACCGGGGCGAGCGACCCACTCCCTGTGTCCCGCCCAGGATAGATCGGGCCTCTGGCTGCCTGCACACAGCTCGACTCCGAGAGGCGATGGTGGCACGGGCGGTTGTCGTGCCCCCACACGCGGAGAAGCGGTGCACAGGGACCACCCGGAACTGGCTCTCGGCACCCGGCTGAACATTTCCAAAGTGCACCCAAAAATGCAGTGGGTCTGTCTGAGCCAGCTTCGGTGTTCGCCCGCCGCGGAGACGGAGCCGGCAAAATCGGTTCACGTGCAGGCGTTCGCCCTGGGCCGCGGTGAGGGTTGGCGAGCGTGTGGGGGAACCAATTGACGGTGGAACGAGAGAGCTCTGAACGTGCCAGTAACCCCCGTAGGATCGGCAGCCTACGTGATAGTCACCGCGTGTTTTTTGTGTGTTCTTTTCGTAGCTCCACAGCTCGTACATCGCCCGTAATGCCGTGGGTCCCTGGTAACCTCTGGTGAGAATGAGCGGTCGGCCAACTCGGCACGGCAGCAATTTCTTGATGCTGTGGCTGGTGGGCCCGCGGAGAGGCAGGTTGCGTTCTTCCGCGTCCGCCTGCAGCCACCACCCAATCGCGCGGCAGGGACTCTTTACTTCTGGGTGCGCTTTGTAAAAGCGCCGCTCGCTCGGTGCCGCAGCCGTTACCGCACGGCGCCCAAATTAGACGGCGGCATCGCGATGGCACGGTGTGCTTTCCCGCACGGCCGTGCCACGGTGGCACGGGTGGCATCTCGCGCCCGCGCCAACCGCACGCGGCGCCGCACCCGGTTTTTACTCCGCGTCCGTGTGGGAAGCCGTTACCGCAGCCGAGAAACGCATTCCGTTCAGGTTAAAACGGGGAAACAAAGAAATCGTTCGAATCAAAACACGAGAGTTTTGATTCGAGCCAGTGGCGTTGTGGTAACCTCCGGGTTATCGGACGCATCACGATCCCTGCCGCTGCCACACAAGCCGCGGCCGGCGACCCAGGCGGGGCCCGCCTCCTGCCCAAGTGTTGTTTTGATTTGAGTGATACCCGACACGGATGACCTCTGCCGTCCGCAGAACCCGCATCATCGTAACGACTCAACATTCCCCAGCGTTCCCAGGGCCCCCGCAGTCTCCAACCGCGATCCTGTCACTCTCTCTCTCTCTGCCCTCTTGCTAACCCCTCTCTCCCTCTGCTCTGAAGAGAAGAAGGAGGGCCATTGTCCCGAGCGTCAGCCCGCAATGTATATTTATTTACGTTAGATGGCCCGGCGGTGGCGCTTTTGCCGCTCTTCGCAGGGGTTTGCGGTTGGAATCCAGCGGCCGCCCTGGCTATTCCTGCGGTGTGTGGCGACCCATGATGATGCTGCTGTGCGCCGTCGTCTTCTTCACTCGCAGTGGCCGTTAAAAATATGCCGTGGCCGTCGTTGGCAAGAGCGGGCCGTCGTGTGCCGTTTCAAATTTGAAAGATTTCTCGATTACGCATTGCCGATCAACTCCGAAATTGCTGCCTGAACCCCAGCGTTAAATGAGTACCTGCCGCGGTGTATAAACGTCAGCACCGGGGGAGACAAAGGCGTCCGGCCGGCTGGCCGGCCGGTCGGTCGGTCGATCGCGATGTTGGCCACACCTTTTTTTTGCGCTACGACCAAGCGGTCTCCGCTGCCGTCCGTGTCCGTGCACGCGCCGTCGCCCGAGCGTGTGGCTCCACGGGCCCCCGGGCGCCAGTGTGGAAGCTGAAGAATTTGTTGGCGGGCGGGCGGCAGGCGGGTGGGCGGGCGGGCGAGCGGGAAGGCAACACATTCCTGGCAGCAGCCCGAGGCAGGTGAGCGCGTGCGAGCGGACTCCTGTTCTCCCGTCAAACGGGGCCTTTGTTGCCGTTCTTCGTTTTCCACAAACGTGCGGTGTCATTTGCGCGGCCGGCGCGTTCTGCCGAACAGCGGGCGCTCGGTGTCCCGGCCACTAATCGAGCCGGAGGATTTGTCCGGGCGTGCCGGGGCCGCGGGCTTTCGCGCGCTCCTCTAACCCGTGAGGCGGCGGTGCCGGCGTGAGGCGGCGGTGCCGGCGTGAGGCGGCGGTGCCGGCGTGAGGCGGCACCCTCCGCCCTCCTTCCCGTGACCCCGTTCGCCCGGCGCTCGACCATGAGACGCCCCCGCCCCCACGGCCGTCGGCCGCGTGTGATATTTCGCGCGGACGTCTTGGCCGAAGCGCCCCGCGGGATTCCCTCGTGAAACGCGGCGCACTATTTGCCCGCGCGGTCGGACTGTGCGGGACCTCGGTTTGGTCAGTGGAGGATCTTATGTCGGTGAACTCGCGCGAAAGTCGAATGCCACGCTTGTTGCCGCTCGCGCCGGTTCGGTGAACTAACGACGGCGCCGCGCCGTGTGCTGCGTTGCCGTGCCGGCCCCAGACTGGGAGCGGGGGCCGCCGCCCGACGGCCGTGCCGCCTACCGGGTGGACACCCCCTACGGCTTCTCGCTCGACCTCGGCTTCCTGCGGTACGTGGAGGACATCGAACGCGGCCTCCTCGCCGCGGGCCGCGCGCCGGCCCGCTCGCGCCGCCCGTCGTCGCGCGCCGGCGACCCCGCCGCTCCGTCGCCGACCGCGGCGACCGGCCCCTCGCCCGTGCCCGCCAGGCCGAGCCGGCGGGAGGGGCCGCCCCGCGACCCCGCCGGGTCCCGCGGCGCGCTGGCCGCCGCGGCGGGCCAGAGGGCCGCCGCCCCCGGCGCGCGCGACTATCGGGTGGAGAAGACCCTGCTCGAGACGAGGAGGAGGCTCGAGGAGGCCGAGGGGGGGCGGCCGGAGGCCGGCGCCGGCGCCGGCATGCAGCACCACGGGGACGAAGCTAGCAGTCGACAGCAGCGGCAGCGCCAGCAGCAGCAGCAGCAGCACGCGCGCACTGCCCACGGGAACCAGCGCCTGCCCAGCTTCTCCTTCACGCACGTGAGCGTCACCGGCCCGTCGCCGCCCACTCACGCCGCGCCGCCGTGGCTGCCCGCCGGCGGCCGCTTCGCCGGCGCCCGGGCAGGCGCCGGCGACGTCTTCTTCGCCGACGGCTGCGGCGACGGCTCCTACGCCGGGACGAATGGCGCGGAGGCGTTCGGCGGGTTCGGCGGGACCCACGCGGCCCACGCGGCCCACGCGGCCGGCGGGGCGCCGTCGCGCACGCTCTCCAGCCCCGGCTTCCGCGGCAGCCCCGGCAGCTCGGGGACGGGCACGCCGCTCGCCGGCGCCCTGTCGCCCGCGCAGCTGCAGGCGATCCGCGAGCAGATGGCGGCGGGGCTGCGGCGCCTGCGCGAGCTGGAGGAGCAGGCGAAGCTGTTGCCGGTGATGCAGGTGAAGATCGCCGTGCTGCAGGAGGAGAAGCGCCAGCTCGTCGCCAAGCTGCGCGGCGCCGCGGGCGACCCCGAGGCGCTGCAGCCGCTCGGGTTCCGCAAGCGGGCGTACAGCGCCGGCAGCGCCGGCAGCCGCGGCGAGCTGGAAGCGCTGGCGGGACGCGGCGAGGACGAGGCCGGCGGCGGCGGAGGCGCCGGCGCCGCGGCCGAAGCCGTCGGGAAGGCGGTCCGCTCGGAGGAGTTCCGTGCGCTGGCGGAGGGGATACAGGTGCTGGAGAGGGCGGTGCAGGACGGGGAGCGCGGTCCCGAGACCCGGCTCTCGCCGACGCCGCCGTGCTGCGGGGACTCCGGCGCCGGCGGCGCCGAGCGGCCGGCAGGGCCGTCGCGGCGGGACGCGGCCGTGGCGGCGGCGCCGGAGATGCGCTCGGCGTGCACGGCGGTGTCGGAGGAGGAGCTGGGCGAGCGCCGGCTGGAGGCGGAGTCGGAGCGCCGGCGCGAGCTCGAGCCGGAGCTCCGGGAGCTGCGCGCCGGGCGGCGGCGCCTGGAGGCCCGGCTGGCCGAGGCGGAGCACGGCCTGCAGATGGCGCGGCTCCGGCTGCAGCTGCGGGCGGCGCACACGGCGCACAAGGGCGTGACGGCGCGGCCCAGCGTGGCCGACGCGTGGGCCGAGGCGCGGCCGGCGACGCGGAGCCAGGGTGCCGGCAACCACGCCGAGACGAGGGACGTCGCCGTCGCGGCGGCGCCGGCGACGGCCGCCGCCGCCGTGCAGTGCCGCGTGGACCCTGTCGCCGTGGAGACGGACGCGGGGCCGGCGCCGCGCCGCGACCGGCGCGGCCGGGATCGTGCCGAGGCCGGAGAGGCCGAGGACGGGCCGCGGGCGGAAGCGGCGGCGGAGGCGCCGGTTCCGCCCGTGCCGCCGCCGGCGCGCGAGGACAAGCAGACGAACACCTCGGCGCCGTCGCTGGCGGACGTGGCCACCAACACGCGGGCTGCGCAGAGCCGCTCGGTGGCCGTGGGGGACGGCAGGGTGAGGGACGCCCCGACGGCGCCGAGGACTCGTTCGGTCGGCGTCGGCACCGCCAGCGAGCGCCGGTCTCTCGCCGACGTGGCCCCCGGGCCCAGTGCCGGCGCCCGACGGCATTCGTCCTCTTCGGCGGCGTCGTCATCCTCGGCGGCCGGCGCCGCGTTTCTGGCGGCGGCGGTGGCGGCGGCCGAGCCATCGCCGGTGGCGCCGCCGAGATTCCGTGACGTGGGCGTCGGTGGGTTCAGCGTGACGGGGAACGAGCTGGTGGGGCTGAGGACGCGCAGCATGTCGAGCAACACGGCGCGCGGCGACGGGCGGGCGCCGGCGGGCGGGCCCGAGGCGGCGCTGGCGGGCGAGACGATCGGGGCCTACATCGAGCAGGTGCAGCGCCTGCTGCAGGAGCAACAGACACTGCTGTCGCAGAACTACCTGGAGCTGGCCGACGCGTTCGGGCAGCAGCAGCAGCAGCCGGCGCCTGAGCAGGCCCGGCAGCAGATGGGGTCGCTGGAGAATCGCATCCTCAGCACGGTGCACTCGCTTTCCAGCATCCACGCGGCCATCCGCGCCAGCTGCGACGATCTCAGGTGCTGCCATTGCCACCGATGGCGCCGTTTTGCGCAAATCATAATGGACTCTTTAGGGGGTCGTACAGGTAGCAGTGTCACTCTGTGGGCGAGATGGGCACAGGGGAGAGCATTGTGGGTGAGATGGGCACCACGGTGGAGAGAGCATTGTGGGTAAGATGGGCACCACGAGGGAGAGAGCATTGTGGGAAAGATGGGCACCACAGGGGAGAGAGAATTGTGGGTAAGATGGGCACCACGAGGGAGAGAGCATTGTGGGTAAGATGGGCACAGGGGAGAGCATTGTGGGTGAGATAGGCACCACGAGGGAGAGAGAATTGTGGGTGAGATGGGCACCAAAGGGGAGAGAGCATTGTGGGTGAGATGGGCACTATGGGGGAGAGAGCATTGTGGGTGAGATGGGCACAGGGGAGAGCATTGTGGGTGAGATGGGCACCACGAGGGAGAGAGAATTGTGGGTGAGATGGGCACCACGAGGGAGAGAGAATTGTGGGTGAGATGGGCACCACGGGGGAGAGAGCATTGTGGGTAAGATGGGCACCAAAGGGGAGAGAGCATTGTGGGTGAGATAGGCACCACGGGGGAGAGAGAATTGTGGGTAAGATGGGCACCACGAAGGAGAGAGAATTGTGGGTGAGATGGGCACAGGGGAGAGCATTGTGGGTGAGATGGGCACCACGAGGGAGAGAGAATTGTGGGTGAGATGGGCACAGGGGAGAGCACTGTGGGTGAGATGGGCACCACGAGGGAGAGAGAATTGTGGGTGAGATGGGCACAGGGGAGAGCATTGTGGGTGAGATGGGCACCACGAGGGAGAGAGAATTGTGGGTAAGATGGGGAGAGAGAATTGTGGGTGAGATGGGCACCACGAGGGAGAGATCATTGTGGGTGAGATGAGCACAGGGGAGAGCATTGTGTGTGAGATAGGCACCACAGGGGAGAGAGAATTGTGGGTAAGATGGGCACCACGAGGGAGAGAGAATTGTGGGTGAGATGGGCACCAAAGGGGAGAGAGCATTGTGGGTGAGATGGGCAGCAAAGGGGAGAGAGCATTGTGGGTGAGATGAGCACCAAAGGGGAGAGAGAGCATTGTGGGTGAGATGGGCACCACGAGGGAGAGAGAATTGTGGGTAAGATGGGCACCACGAGGGAGAGAGCATTGTGGGTAAGATGGGCACCACCAGGGAGAGAGCATTGTGGGTGAGATGGGCACCACCAGGGAGAGAGCATTGTGGGTAAGATGGGCACCATGAGGGAGAGAGAATTGTGGGTGAGATGGGCACCAAAGGGGAGAGAGAATTGTGGGTGAGATGGGCACCACGAGGGAGAGAGAATTGTGGGTAAGATGGGCACCACGAGGGAGAGAGAATTGTGGGTGAGATGGGCACCAAAGGGGAGAGAGAATTGTGGGTAAGATGGGCACCACGAGGGAGAGAGCATTGTGGGTAAGATGGGCACCATGAGGGAGAGATAATTGTGGGTGAGATGGGCACCAAAGGGGAGAGAGAATTGTGGGTGAGATGGGCACCACGGGGGAGAGAGCATTGTGGGTGAGATGGGGAGAGAGAATTGTGGGTAAGATGGGCACCACGAGGGAGAGATCATTGCACTTTGTGCTGCGTCTTCTGCGACAGAGACCTGGGAGGCCCTGACGTTTCACTCGGGGCCTATGGGCGTGCAAATGCGCTGTGTTATTACCAAGTTTAAGTGTGTGTAGTCATCATCATCATCAGCCACGTTTGATCCACTCCTGGATGTTGGACCAAGGCCTCCCCAAGGTTGCTTATGGTGGGGCAAATTATGGGTAACTCCCACCCCCAAGACGTCGACCAAAATACCACCCAGTGGAAGCTTCTTCCACCAGCAAGTGACTCGGAGCAAGCAATTGCAGGGCTGCGCTTTTACCTTTCGCGTTACAATGTACGTCCGACCGCTGCGGTGTTTCCAGGACCCCTTTATCAGAGCCGGGGGCGGCGCGTTCCCCGGTCCTCGCCGTGGCGAACACCGAGGCCGCCGCCGCCACCACCACCACCACCGCCGTCACCGTCACCGAGTCACAAGCGAGTGAGTGTCTCTGAAAAGCATTTTCACAGCGAAACCTTCACATTCTTGCAGGGGTAGGGTGGGTGAGGGCTGGGGTGGGGGGGGGATGGCGAAGGTGGGCGGGGGGAGGGGGAACAGGTCGGGCCACCACGGTGGCGCCAGTTTTCGCTCGGTGATTCGCGGCACGGGCGGGGGCGTCAAATTCTCGCGGCGAGCGCCGCCGCAATTAGGATTCCTGCGAAGTCGCTCGCGTGCGGACGACGCGCGTTTCGCGTTTGACACCGCGTCTCTCCGCGCGCGCCGCACAGGCAGCGGCGAGGCCGGCGGTGCCGGGGCCACCGGTGCCGGGGCCACCGGTGACGCTTGCTCCCGGCACCCTCTGCTCATTGAAGAGACGCCGGGCGCGCTGCAACGGGGCGACACGAGGCGAGAGTCGCCCTCTCACCCTCTCGCTCTCCCGCCCGCTCCTTCTCTCTCTGGCGAGACGGTGTCACAGCCCATCCCTCCCCCCGCCCGCCTACGGCCTTGCCGCTTTCCCGCGCCCGTGCCACATTTCCTCTCGGGCCGAGTAGCGTCGTCAGCTTGGCCGGTTGCCGGTTGCCGTCTGCGTTGGCGTCTTCGTTGGCGGTGTTTGCGCGGCTCCCCGTTTGTGACGCGCGTGCGCTGTCGCGCCGTTGGGGCGGAGCGGCGGCGCCTTCCTGTATATTTGGAGTTTGCGTGTCTCTCTCCCCGTGGATTTTTCTCCGGGTCCTCCGGTTTTTCCCTCCACATTTTAGGATCGACATCACGCCTTTAGAGTGTTTGGCTGCTGTAAATTCCCACGTGATGAGCCACTTTCTTGAGCTGCCATTTGTGGTAGGTCGCTTCGGAGCAAGAGCTGTATGGTTTCCGTGGGTCGTACCTGGTAAAAAAATAAATCGTTAAGAGTTCTTAAACCAAGAGGCCGCGCGACCGCAGCGGCATCGCCTCTTTTATCTCGCACAGGCTGCCGGGGCAATTGCTGTTTGCGAGCTCTTATTATGGCCGGCGCTACAGCACCACAGTAATTGTTATTCCTATGGTAATAATGGACTTGCATGGTGGCGTGCGATACATAGCGCGCTGAGCTCTACGGCGGGGCAGCCACCCAGCGTGTTGTCCTCGCGGTGCTGCCAAGTTCGATAGTAACCCAACCGGAGGTTATAAAACTGGTGGGGCTGTCAGATTCCACACCTCCCCTCCCCCCCCCCCCGCTCTGTTTCACTCCCTCCCCCCGCCCTCATCCATGTGCTCATCGGTCACTTCGTCTGTCGTGAGTGTGACGCTGTGTGTGGGTGTCAGGGAGCTATCCGCAGAGTCATCATCATTGTCATCATCATCATCATCATCGTGATCGTAGCTGTCGTCATCGTCTCTACGACCATCAAACTGATGTTGATTAATTGAACCGTTAAGACCACCGTTCACTGAACGTTTTGCAAGGCCGAGCCGCTCGCCGACAATAATCGCCCCAATGCAACACACACAACAATCCCCGAACACGCACACACAAACCCCCCCATACGCACACACTCAACCTCCCCCCATACGCACACACACACACACAACCCACCACGGCCATAGAGAGAGTGCCGACGATTGAATTGAGATGCGCGACGTCGTGCTAGCAGCCCCGTAGCACCTTCACGCCTTTTAACGTGGCCGCCGGCGTCCTCTTTCTCCTAGTCCGGAGTCATCGACCGAGGACTCCGGCTCTTCCTCCTCCTCCTCCTCGGAGGAGGAGGACTCCACCTCCTCGGAGGGGTCCCTGGCGCGCACCCCCGACGGCCGCCTCCCCACCAGCGTGAGTTTGCAACGGCGCCAGGCGGCGCCTCGCGCCCCTCCCCACCCCGCGGGGCGTCGTGATGCCCCGGGATTACTTCCCATATCTCCTCGACGCTGCCCGGCCTCACTTCCCCTATCGATATTCTCCGCAACGCTGCCCGGCCCGCTTGCGGCGGGGATCATCTGCGTAAGGCACCACCACTGATTAGCACGGTTGGCTATGTACGGTGCGAAAGAAGTGCAGCATACATGCATAATAATCCTATATTGGTGTACCCTACGTGGCTATAATCCTATATTGGTGTACCCTACGTGGCTATAATCCTATATTGGTGTACCCTACATGACTATAATCTTATATTGGTGTACCCTACATGACTATAATCTTATATTGGTGTACCCTACATGGCTATAATCTTATATTGGTGTACCCTACATGGCTATAATCTTATATTGGTGTACCCTGCATGGCTATAATTCTATATTGGTGTAACCTATATGGCTATAATCCTATATTGGTGTAACCTATATGGCTATAGTCCTATATTGGTGTACCCTACAGGACTATAATCCTATATTGGTGTACCTTACATGGCTATAATCCTATATTGGTGTTCCCTATATGGCTATAATCCTATATTGGTGTACCCCATATGGCTATAATCCTATATTGGTGTACCCTATATGGCTATAATTCTATATTGGTTTTTTGAAGGTGATTTTTTTCCTTCCACTTGTATAAACACTCATTAATTGGCTAAAAACATCTTGATATGTAGAGAACAGCAGAGCTTGGTATTGCCTGCTCACCGCATGCCTTCCCTATTCGTCTGTGATTCCTCAGGATGCATTTTAAACGAATAACGATCTATACAACTAGACAAATTATTATAATTACGTTAGTCATTTTGTAACATAATTATAGAAAATTAGCTGAACCGAACGTGGTGAGAAATACATCAAATAGATACAGTCACTTAAACGCAGACTCACGGTTTTGAGCATTTGTTTTGACAGGAAGAGAAACAAGATTTTGAGAAGGTGGCAGAGGATGGTGGGACGGAGGCACAGGAGTTCGAAGATGGCGAGGAGGTGTTTGTGAAGGAGGGCGATGAAGTGAGGTGAGACGCCTTCCCGAGCCGCCGTGCCGAGGTGGCGTCTTGACGACGACCCGGTCGCTCGGTCGTTAAAGCAGAGTTCAAATTTCTTTCTACGTCGCTTTGCCGAAAGAACCAAAGAGTAATTCCTGCAGTCACGAAAGCTTCGAATCAAGTCAGAGTTCAAACGTCGACGCTGCGCCAACAGCGGAGGTCTCAGCAACCGTCCATGGTTACGCGTCGCTCCCCCGGCACATCTACACGTCCGTGTGTGTGTGTGTGTGCGCGTGCGAGCGCGGAGTGTGTGACGTCACCGTGTATTGGGGTGTGTGGCGTCACCGTGAGAGTGTGTGTGGTGTGTGTGCGGTGTCAATTCTGTGTGCACGTGGTGTGGCGGTGTGCGTGCGGTGTGCGTTCTGTGTGCATGTGGTGTGTGTGCGGTGTGCGTGCGTTGTGCGTGCAGGGTGTGCGGTGTCCTGTGTGTGCGTGGTGTCTTAGTGGTGTGTGTGACATCACGGTGCGTGCGGCGTGTATGTGTCTGTGGCGTCCCCGTGGCAGCGTTGACGAGAGGCTGCTAGCCACGTGTCTGCTGCTCAAGGACGGCGTGGATGACGAGCAGTGCATCACGCAGCCCGCCATGGTTAGGCCACACGCTCGCTCACTCACCCACTCATCTAATCACTCGCTCAGCCGCTCACCCCACCCTCCTGCTCACTCATCGACTCATTTGTTTACTCGCCCACTGGCACGTTCGCATGCCTACTTGCTTGCTGACATTACTCATTAAACCACTCGCCCACTCGCTCGCTCGCCCTCTCGCTCACTCGCCCTCACTGTGCGTCCCGGGTTCCCTTCTGCCATGTCCGTATTGCTTCACTAGTTTTGCCGCTGCTGCTGACGTCGCTTTGTTTGGGTCAGGCAGTGGCTCGGGCACCGACGATGCTGGCATGGCTGCCTTACATATTTCCCACCGACCCCCCCCCCCCCCCCCCCCGCACTTTCTTCCCTCTCCTTCCCGGGACCAAGGCGGAGGCGCTGGGCGCCGTGTCTCGGGAATGGTTCGGCGCGTCGAGCCGCCAGGGCGCGCGGCCGGCGCAGGTGGCGGCGCTCATTGCCGTGCTGCGCCAGGTCTCCCCGCAGCTGCTGCGCTACGTCGTCAACATGGCTGACGGGAACGGAAACTCAGCGCTTCACTACAGCGTGTCGCACTCCAACTTCCCCGTCGTGGCCGCGCTCCTTGACACTGGTGAGTCAGGGTTTGGACTGGGTCGAGGCCTAGGGTTTGGCCTGGGTCGAGGCCTAGGGTTTAGCCTGGGTCTAGGGCTAGGGTTTGGCCTGGGTCGAGGCCTAGGGTTTGGCCTGGGTCTAGGGCTAGGGTTTGGCCTGGGTCGAGACCTAGGGTTTGGCCTGGGTCGAGACCTAGGGTTTGGCCTGGGTTGAGGCCTAGGGTTTAGCCTGGGTCGAGGCCTAGAGTTTGGCCTGGGTCGAGACCTAGGGTTTGGCCTGGGTTGAGGCCTAGGGTTTAGCCTGGGTCGAGGCCTAGAGTTTGGCCTGGGTCGAGGCCTAGGGTTTCGCCTGGGTCGAGGCCTAGGGTTTGGCCTGTGTCGAGGCCTAGGATTTTGCCTGGGTCGAGGCCTAGGGTTTGGCCTGGGTCGAGGCCTATGGTTTGGCCTGGGTCGAGGCCTATGGTTTGGCCTGGGTCAAGGCCTAGGGTTTGGCCTGGGTCTAGGCTTAGGGTTTGGCCTGGGTCGAGGCCTATGGTTTGGCCTGGGTCGAGGCCTATGGTTTGGCCTGGGTCGAGGCCTAGGGTTTGGCCTGGGTCGAGGCCTAGGGTTTGGCCTGGGTCTAGGCTTAGGGTTTGGCCTGGGTCGAGGCCTAGGGTTTGGCCTGGGTCTAGGCCTAGGTCGGGGCATGAGCCTGGGCCTGGGCATCTCCAAAATTTGAACCCTGAATCTCCGCAATAAGTCGCGAACGTGCTACCCCAACTTTTCCTGTCCACTGCTGGGCCATTGTCAGGACACGTTTATTCTTGCATTATTATTGCAGTGCTTTTCAAAAAATATTGCAGCGGCGTTTGTGGGCCGAGGCCGAACACGGACACGCGTTTGTTTCTGCCGCGCGTCGGCCCGTCGCAGGCGTGTGTGATGTGGATCGCCAAAACAAGGCGGGCTATACGGCCGTCATGCTGGCCTCGCTGGCGGCCGTGCAGGACGAGCGCGACATGGACATCGTGCGGCGCCTCCTCTGCCTGGGCAACGTCAACGGCAGAGCAAGCCAGGTAGCGCCACCGCCTCCTTCGCCGCCGCCACCTTCGACACCGCCGACACGTGTTCACCTACGCCCATGTGCGAAAGCCCGGCTGTGTAAATCATCATCATCATCGTCGTCATCATCGTCATCATCATCGTCATCATCGTCATGATCCATGGACAGATGGCCCGTAGTAGGTGTCCGCTTTCATCTGCCGTGTGCCAATATGCTCAATTGGTGGCCACATCTTTCCGGCACCAGTCTCTTACGACGTCGTCGTCGTCGTCGTCGTCGTCGTCGTCATCAAGCCATTCTCTATCGGGTCTTCCTCTCTTTGCGGTTCCTTCCGTTGAAATCTTCCTGTTGTTGCCCATCCTACGTGTGCGTCCAAATAGCGTCAGTTTCCTTCCCGTCACTGCCTGCATCATCATCAGGTAGTTCTCTTCTACGTGCGACCTTTTTCTTACTCCGACGTTGTTGGGCCCTACTTGGGGTCCACGCGCTGCGTATACGCAGGGATATGTAACAGCGATTGTTGCGACTTGCAACACGCCTCTGCACGGTAGTCGCTCACTCTGTCTCGTGAGAGAGAGAGAGAGATGTGGCGGTGCATCAAAGACGAGCGGCAACGCCGGCAGAGCCCGGTGGCGAGCCGTTGCCAAATTCTTTCCGTCCCAGAGCTGATCATTTAAGTAATCACTTACCGTGCCGATTACCGGTCAGACTACCGGGCTAACCTGATTGCACCGTAGTACTTCGCCATGTGCTCCACCGTTTGTTCCGCTCCAGCTAGAACGATTGAATCGCTTTCTTTTTTTTTAATTCATAAAGGATCTGGGTGTTTGTTTGTTACTGACATTTCATTTCGTGCCACCACAATTATTCGTGAATCTTTTGCGTCTGCCACTACGGGGCTCTACCGCTTTTGCCTCTGTCGCTTGTACTTTGCCCATGGGCACCACCGGGCGCCACCGTCGACCCGAGCGTGCGTGCGTGCGGGCGCAGGCGGGCCAGACGGCGCTGATGCTGGCCGTGAGCCACGGGCGCGTGGACATGGTGCGGGCGCTGCTCGCGTGCGGCGCCGACCCCAACGCGCGCGACGACGATGGCTCGACAGCGCTCATGTGCGCCAGCGAGCACGGCCACGCCGAGCTCGTGCGCCTGCTGCTGGCGCAGCCGGGCTGCGACGCCGCGCTCGCCGACAACGTGAGACGCTCCGCACGCACACACGCACACGTACACAACAAAGACAAAGATCCCCCATATAGCCTTAACAGACTGTAGGGGCAAGTGCTGTTAGCGAGCACCTATGAAGGCCGGAACGGTACACGAGGGGGTGGGTGGCCAGCACCACGCCCGACCGCCTTTGTCTCCCTAGTGGCAATGTTTACACACCACACCAGGTACTCATTTGAGGCTGAGTCGACCTAGGAGAGGCCCGGGACCGGTTCAGATAATCGTCACTGGTGTTGGCCGTGAGCGGGAATCGAACCCGGGTCGCCAGGTTCATAGCGCAGCGCGCTAACCGCTACACTATCGCTCCCCACACACACGTACACACACGCACACACACAGACAGAGATCCGCCGCGCAGCCCTGAACAGAGTGTCGCTGTTAGCGAGTAGCGCCTGTGAAGGGGCTGGCACGCGGCACGTGGGGAGCAAGGGGGGGGAGAGTGGTCAGCACCGCACCTGGCCCGCCTTTGTCTCCCCAGTGCCCTATGTACACGTGTTGAACTTCGTTAGCACCGTACGTAGCCAACCGTGCTCATTTGAGTGCTGATATTTACTTTACTGCACACCGCACCTGGCCCAGGACCGGTTAAGATCTTTAGCACTATATAAATCCACATACCTACACGATTTGTATATTGTGCGTGTATGCGTACGTACGTACGTGCGTGTGTGTGCATGCGTGTGTGCGTGCGTGTGTGTGTGTGTGCATGCGTGTGTGTGTGTGCATGCGTGTGTGTGTGTGCATGCGTGTGTGTGTGTGCATGCGTGTGTGTGTGTGCATGCGTGTGTGTGTGCATGCGTGTGTGTGTGCATGTGGGTGCGTGTGTGTGTGTGCATGTGCGTGCATGCGTGTGTGTGTGTCTGTGTGTGTGTGTGGTGTGTGTGGTGTGTGTGCGTGTGTGTGTGTATGTGTATATGTGTGTAGTGTGTGCGTGTGTGTGTGTGCGTGCGTGTGTGTGTGTGTGCATGTGTGTGTGTGTGTGCGTGTGTGTGCGTGCGTGTGTGTGTGTATGTGTGTGTGTATGTGTGTGTATGTATGTGTGTGTGTATGTGTGTGTATGTGTGTGTGTATATGTGTGTGTATGTGTGTATGCGTGTGTGCGTGTGTGCATCAGGACGGCAGCACGGCTCTGTCCATCGCGCTGGACGCGGGGCACAAAGACATCGCCGTGCTGCTCTACGCACACGTCAACTACTCCAAGACGCCGTCGCCCGTGAGCGACCACACGTGGCACACGTGACACACACACACGTGGCACACACGTGGCACACGTGACACACACACGTGACACACACACACACACGTGGCACACACACACACACGTGGCACACACACACACTTGGGGCACACACACACACACACGTGACACACACACACGTGGCACACACACACACACACGTGACACACACACACGTGGCACACGTGACACACACACGTGACACACACACGCACACACACACCACACACACACACGTGGCACGCACACACACACACACGTGGCACGCACACACACACACGTGGCACACACGTGGCACACACACACACACTTGTGGCACACACACACACACTTGGCACACACACACCACACACACACACACACACCACACACACACACCACACACACTTGTGGCACACACACCACACACACTTGTGGCACACACACACATGGCACACACACACACACGTGGCACACACACACACACGTGGCACGCGCATGGCACGCACGATGGCACACACACACACACACGTTGCACACACACACACACACACGTTGCACACACACACACGTGGCACACACACACACACGTGTGGCACACACACACACACGTGGCACACACACACACGTGGCACGCACACACACACACACGTGGCACGCACACACACACACACGTGGCACGCACACACACACACACACTTGTGGCATGCACACACACACTTGGCACACACACACACACCACACACACCACACACACACACACACCACACACACACCACACACACACACTTGTGGCACACACACACACATGGCACACACACACGTGGCACACACACACACACACACGTGGCACGCGCATGGCACGCACGATGGCACACACACACACACGTGGCACACACACACACACGTGGCACACACACACACACGTGGCACGCACACACACACACACACACGTGGCACGCACACACACACACACACATGTGGCACACACACACACGCACACACACACACACGTGGCACACACACACGTGGCACGCGCATGGCATGCACGATGGCACACACACACACGTGGCACACACACACGTGGCACACACACACACACGTGGCACGCACACACACACACACACGTGGCACGCACACACACACACACACTTGTGGCACGCACACACACACTTGGCACACACACACACACCACACACACCACACACACACACACACCACACACACACCACACACACACACTTGTGGCACACACACACACATGGCACACACACACGTGGCACACACACACACACACACGTGGCACACACACACACGTGGCACACACACACACACGTGGCACGCACACACACACACACACACGTGGCACGCACACACACACACACACATGTGGCACACACACACACACACACGCACACACACACACACGTGGCACACACACACACACGTGGCACGCGCATGGCACGCACGATGGCACACACACACACGTGGCACACACACACGTGGCACACACACACACACACGTGGCACGCACACACACACACACACGTGGCACGCACACACACACACACACGTGGCACACACACACACACACGCACACACACACGTGGCACACACACACACGTGGCACGCGCATGGCACGCACGATGGCACGCACGGGATTGTTCAACAGATTTCGCCGGATTACCAGGTGTCTCTAACAAGGCCGCTGCGTATCAGCCACGGGGAGCCGTTCGATTGAACAAGAAGCAAAGCCGAACAAACGGCGGCGCTGCAGCACTTTCCCCACCAGCCTGTGCGGGCTACCCGGGGTATCTTTGCCTTTGCCCACGTTAACGAAACGCCACGAACGCGCGGGCGCGGCTCTAACACGGCGCGTCTCGCGGGCAGGGGACGCCACGCTTGGGCCGCAAGGCCTCGCCCAGCCCCACGCGGCGGGGCCCCTTCGACTGACGGCCCAGAGGCTCCGGCGGCGGCGGCGGCGACGTCGGCGCGCCCCCGCGGCGTCTCGGCGCGGGGGAACCGCCGACGCGCGGGAACGGCTGCTGCTGCCGCAACCGCACCGGGACCCGGAACCCGGAGCCAGGAGCCAGGAGCCAGGGCACGGTTCTTCACCAAGCGCGGGGGGGACGATCGCCGCGTCGCCGGGAGACCGCCCGGGGGGGTGCCTCGTGACGCTCGGGGGCAGCCACGGCCGTCGGCGGAGAAGGATTTGGCTTTAGTTTGTGTTTTTATAATGCGCGGTTACTGAGCACGGTCGGGGGGCCCAAAGGCCCATGACGTCAAGCGGACGGCAACCGACGGCACCATCAGAGTTGTCATCGGCGACGACGACGACGATGATGATGATGGGAGCGGTGCGAGGGAAGAGGCGCACGGAAGAGTGTTGTGACCTGCAGTGGGGTGAGCGGGTGGGCGAGTGAGCGGGTGGGCGAGTGAGTGGGTGGGTGGGTGGGTGAGCGGGTGGGTGAGTGAGCAGGTGAGCGGGTGGGTGAGTGAGCGGGTGGGTGAGTGGGCGGGTGAGTGAGCGGGTGGGTGAGTGGGCGGGTGGGTGAGTGGGCGGGTGAGTGAGCGGGTGGGCGGGTGGGTGAGTGAGCGGGTGGGCGAGTGAGCGGGTGGGCGAGTGAGCGGGTGGGCGAGTGAGCGGGTGGGCGGGTGAGCGGGTGGGCGGGTGAGCGGGTGGGCGGGTGAGCGGGTGGGTGGGTGAGCAGGTGAGTGGGTGGGTGAGTGAGCGGGTGGGTGAGTGAGCGGGTGGGTGAGTGGGCGGGTGAGTGAGCGGGTGAGCGGGTGGGTGAGTGGGCGGGTGGGTGAGTGAGCAGGTGAGCGGGTGGGCGAGTGAGCGGGTGGGCGGGTGAGTGAGAGAGCGGGTGAGCGGGTGGGTGAGTGAGCGGGTGAGAGGGTGAGTGAGTGAGTGAGCAGGTGAGCGGGTGGGCGGGTGAGCGGGTGAGCGGATGAACGGGTGAGCGGATGAACGGGTGAGCGGATGAGCGGGTGAGCGGGTAGGCGAGTGAGCAGGTGGGCGGGTGGGCGAGTGAGTGGGTGAGCGGGTGGGCGAGTGAGTGAGCGGGTGAGCGGGTGAGCGGGTGGGCGAGTTAGTGGATGAGTGGGAAGGTGGCTGGGTGAGCGTTGTTGTGACCTTAAAGTGTACATAGCCTGGCGCAAGCGTTGTGGTGATGTCACCGGCACTTAGTGGCGAATGGTGGTGGTTGCTGTTGTTGTGACGGGGGGAGTACGGTTGTTGAACACTATGGATGAGATACAATTTAATTTGTTGGGTGCAAATATAGTTTTCCAGATCGCTGGTAGACTGGAATAGGTGGCACGTGACTCATATCCACATCATCATCATCCACTGCTGGTTTGAAGGCCTTCCAAATCCGCTGGTGAAGCGAGCGGTGTTACTGAATGTGGCGTGCCGGGCGACTAAAATATCACTTTGGGCTGCGGACCCGGGCCGACCCGGCTGCGATTGAGCCCGGGCCCGGCACGGCCAACGAGAGCCCGCGTCACGCAATGTGCGCAATGGCCTTGAGGCTCCCATCGGTGGCGCGCGAGCACCGTCGCCCGATAACTTCACTGGAGCGCTGTGAAACACAAGTGCCCTCCCTGTCGGTGCGATCCTTTGGAGCAGTGGTTCTTAACCTTCACTGCAGCAGCCTGTTGGGAGCCCTTTGCTTCCCAGAAAGGGCATCTCGCACCGCCAGAGGGCGCGTTGCCCCCACCCCAGTTTTAAGAAGCGCACAGCTTTGCTGGTGACAGATTGCTCCACTCGAGAGCGAAGGCCGTGCGCTACGGACTCGCTCGCGTTGAACTTCTTTCGCTCCGTACGTCGCCAGCCCTGCTAATGGGAGGTGCGGGAGAAGTACGGTAGCCCGTCTGCGTCTAATGTTGAAATGGTGTCTGCTGCAGTACAGCATACGGAACCTTGTGGGTGCTTTGGTGCTGTGCGGAACGAGCAGAGACTTAGCGCAATATTTATTATATAGTCAAATATTATAATGTACCTTTATACGGACGGACAGCGGTAAACATGCCCACACTATGCACAATTACACACCCACATTTTATATATATAGATATATATACACATGCGTAAGTGCACTTAGTGCAGTCGTTTATATTGTCTGTCTGCTTGTTTAGTTATACTTTGATGTTTCACGATGGCTTCCCAGCAGCTGTCTCGCGAATATATTTATGGCCAGTGTTTTGTGTGTGTAATGAACAGTGTGTCCACGGCACGCAGTTATCCATCGTTTTGCCTTGCACGTCGTTCCGTTAGCTGCTCGCAAGGGGTTCGGTCAGAGTGTTTGCAAGGCCAGGGGATGTTGAAGGCACACGCGTGTTCGCAGTCCCGCAACAATGAGCCCAGACGATGAATTACCCACGTGCTATCCGGGGATTCATCTTCTCGCTCCATAGTTTCCGGAACGCAGTTAGGCTGTGTTCGTGAGCAAGGATTAACTATTGGCGTAAGGCACTACCACTAGAGTAACGAGGCGCGGCCCTGGCCTTACCCCAATAATGCATCATTTCACCCCTATCGGCTCCAGTCTCATTTTAATCGCGTGACTTCTATGTGTGTGAGACTGTGTGTGTGTGTGTAGTGGGGAGCGGTAGTGTAGCGGTTAGCGCGCTGCGCTATGAACCTGGCGACCCGAGTTCGATTCCCGCTCACGGCCAACACCAGTGACGATTATCTGAACCGGTCCCGGGCCTCCCCTAGGTCGACTCAGCCTCAAAATGAGTACCTGGTGCGGTGTGTAAATATCGCCACTGGGGAGACAAAGGCGGTCGGGCGTGGTGCTGGCCACCCACCCCCTCGTGTACCGTTCCGGCCTTCATAGGTGCTCGCTAACAGCACTTGCCCCTACAGTCTGTTAAGGCTATATGGGGGATCTTTGTTGTTTTGTGTGTGTAGTGGGGAGCGGTAGTGTAGCGGTTAGCGCGCTGCGCTATGAACCTGGCGACCCGAGTTCGATTCCCGCTCACGGCCAACACCAGTGACGATTATCTGAACCGGTCCCGGGCCTCCCCTAGGTCGACTCAGCCTCAAAATGAGTACCTGGTGCGGTGTGTAAATATCGCCACTGGGGAGACAAAGGCGGTCGGGCGTGGTGCTGGCCACCCACCCCCTCGTGTACCGTTCCGGCCTTCATAGGTGCTCGCTAACAGCACTTGCCCCTACAGTCTGTTAAGGCTATATGGGGGATCTTTGTTGTTTTGTGTGTGTAGTGGGGAGCGGTAGTGTAGCGGTTAGCGCGCTGCGCTATGAACCTGGCGACCCGAGTTCGATTCCCGCTCACGGCCAACACCAGTGACGATTATCTGAACCGGTCCCGGGCCTCCTCCCCTAGGTCGACTCAGCCTCAAATGAGTACCTGGTGCGGTGTGTAAACATTGCCACTAGGGAGACAAAGGCGGTCGGGCGTGGTGCTGGCCACCCACCCCCTCGTGTACCGTTCCGGCCTTCAGGTGCTCGCTAACAGCACTTGCCCCTACAGTCTGTTAAGGCTATATGGGGGATCTTTGTCTTTTTGGAGAGAGTGGAGAGTTTCCCATACCTGGGCAGTGTGCTTATGACCGGCTCCAGTTTAACAGCAGAGGTTTCACTCCGAATCAGTCGAGCGGCAATATCTTTTCATCGGTTGCGTAATGCTGTGTGGAAACTACCTGGTCTGTCGCTCCGCACGAAGCTTCAGGTCTTCTCGGCCACGGTCATTCCCTCCCTTCTCTGCGCTTGCGAAACGTGGACCCCCCTAATGGAACATCTTCGCCAGTTAGAAACATTTAGGCTGGCCTGCCTACGATCCATCCTGGGTTTAACCAGGTTGGATTGTGTGAGGAGCTCAAATATCCTTGAAAGATCTGGGCAAGGTCCCATCGGTGAACTCCTCCGGTAGGCAAGGCTGCGATGGCTGGGTCATGTAGCCCGCATGCCCAGCCACCGCATGCCGAAACAGCTTTTGTTCGGCCGGATCGAGGGGGCTAAGCGGGCGCGGCACGGGCAAGAGAAGAGATGGAGTGATGTGGTACAGGAGGATGTGGAGCTGAGTGGACTTGCCGATGACTGGTACCAGCGGTGTCAAGATCGGCCTCTGTGGAGGAGGCTCGTGAAGGACGCTACTGGGAAGTTGGAGGCAGTCGCCCTCCAACAACAACGGAGGACGGAGGAGCGACGCTCACAACAACGAGCGGAGCGCCGGGTGGCTAAGGCACAGTAGGGGGCACAGGTGGTGCATCAGCCAGTCATCTCAGTCAGTCGACCCGTGGCACCTGGGTCTGCCCCGTGACCTGCCAGCGGGCGTTTGACACTTCACGTGGCCTCAAGGTGCACATGGCCTGGCACAAGCGTCGTGGTGACGTCACCGCCACTTAGTGGCGAATGGCGGTTGTTGTTGTGTGAGACTGTGTGTGACTGTGTGTGAGACTGTGTGTGTGTGACTGTGTGTGTGTCTGCTTTGGCTGCTTTGGGTACGCGGTCCAGACCTTCCCAGAGACCCTGGCTGACAGAGGAGGTGTTCAGGATGGTTGAGAAAAAGCGACAGGCCCACTGTCATCGGCTACAGAATCCCACGTCAGAGAATGAGGAGGCTTACCGCAGCCTTCGCTCGGAGGTTTGGAGAGCCGTGAGGCGCTGCAAGGATGCGTGGTGGTCGCGGGTTGCTGAGGAGATAGTCTGCCTCAGTGGCCCGTGATCACAAATCTCTATTTAACTCGATCAAAAAAGTAACCTGCAGCGCCACACCTATTACCATCATTAGGGGAAAAAAACGGTGATCCAATCTCCGACCCCCAGGAACAGGTTTGCAGATTTGCTGAGCATTTCTGTGAGGTCCTGGGGGAGGGAAAATCCCTTAGCCAGGAAAATATCGTGGCACAAAGTGAGGATGACCCTACTGAGGCTGTGGTGCCTCAAATATTGGAAAATTCACCCCCTGTGAGGGCTGGCTGAGGTGCCATCTGTTGAGGAAGTACTGAGGGCGATCCGGAGTCTGAGACCAGGAAAGGCAGCGGGCAGAGATGATCTCCCAAGCGAAATGCTGAGGGAGGGTGGCGTTTGTGCACAGACTGCCCTATATGACATCATAACAACGGTCTGGACCACTGGACGGGTTCCGCAGGATTAGAAGGCTGCTCTGGTGGTCCCCTTTTTTAAGAAGGGGGACCGCACAGACTAACAACTACAGGGGCATCTCACTCCTCAGTGTGCCGGGAAAGGTCCTGGCAAGGATTATTCAGCATCGCCTTGCCAGGCACGCTGAGGAGAGGCTTGCGGAGCCCCAATGCGGTTTCAGGAAAGGGCGGTCCTGCACAGATGCCATATTTTCTGTCCGTCTGCTACAGCAGAGGTGTAGGGAATTCCAACAAGACCTACATCTCTGCTTTATTGACCTGGTCAA